CCGCCCGCCCGCCCGCTCGCCCGCCCGTCCGCCCGTCCGCCCGCTCACGTGATAACATAATACGTCCCTGTCTTCGACGGGCGTATAAAAAGTTAGTGAAAAGTTAACTACTTGAAAAATGTTCTGCTACATAAAACATTTTACTTTATGGCTAAAATACAAAAAAAAATGAAAAGATCTGTATAACTTACTGGTCCTCATGTACTCCAGTTGTCACATCCTTTATTGCAGCGAAGCCACAGTCAACCCGGGCGTAGGTGTTGAGGTTGTTGATCACCTCCTTCCCTACATTGAGGTAGTGGGGATCTCCTGTGGCCTGCAAATTGTCGAATAAGTAGTTGGTCAAAACGATTTCTTTCAAATATCAAACAGTCCGAGTCATGAAAAGAATATATAACGTATATTATGTATAAAGTAACCCAATGTTCTCCCCAGGAATTTTTTGATTCGCTATGGTGTCTATTTTTTACTCTTCCATCGCAGCCCGACACTGCCAACCATTTCCGTGTCGCAACCCAACATTTTCGTCCTAAAGATCACTACTAGGACAGGTATACAAAGATGCAAGCCTTCTAGTTGTTATTCAATATGCGAAGAAAATAGTTATTTGTAATCAAGATAAGATGTAATAAAAGAAACATCTATCAATGTCATTCTGCCAGGAACAGTGGTAGTTACCTTAGTATAAAAAAAAAAAGAATTAAAAGTATCCGATGAAGTTGATTATTTACCTTATAGAGGAAGTATGTGGATTCAACAAACTCTGGCCTCAGTGGATGGTGTCCCCAGTGGACACGGAAATCTGTAGTGAACGCCTGGAACAATCAAAAACAGAATATGAAGATCAATATTTGGATTCTGAAATAATTACAATAATCCAACATCTGTTTATAATGACTTCCTGTCTATATAATGACTGATTTCTACTTGTCCCTCGAGCAGTAGCAGAAATATTTCATTAAATACAATTCAAAATTATTTTACCTGCATTTGCTTTGATTTTGGAATCTTTCTGAAATGAAGTACATTTCATAGCGAGGTAACATATACCTGGTACATGTATCCTTTAACTCAATTTGAACCAGACTAGGGCTACTTTCGCATATCCAGTTTGTCCATTTCAACCAGGTGGACCTGAAAGAATATGACAGGGGCTAATGCTGACCTCTTGGAAATGCATGTGCATATCCAGGGGTTGACTTAGTGTTACCTGGCCGAAACTACAAGGCTTGTTAGCTTGCAGTAACTTTTCATAAAGCAAGATTAATTTACAAGCATATTTTATAAAATTATGTAGACTGGCGAAAAAATCAAATGCAATTCTAGAATCATTATTACTAATTTGTCACAAAAGTTTGAAACTGTACATTTTGAACTCTGCATATAAGTTGACCCACTTTCGGTCTAGGTGAGTCCGTTTATCACAGAATATTTCTGTGCCACCTTTACTGTTTTAATTGGGATACACATAATCAGTCTAAAACACCGGTGACTTTCAAGTCCGGCATCTAAATAACACAGCAATATGATTGCATCAGGTTTACCATTGACAGTATGTGACCAATATTTTCAGACACAGCAGAAATCTTGGGATTTTAAGAACAAAAGGATTGGATGTATCAACCCTCTAGTCTTTTCTATGCAATGACAGTGACAGTATTTACAAACAGGCACTATTGAGATTGCTTTATTTGGGCTAAGGCCACCCTTTGTATATTCAGTATGTGTGATTATTGTAATCATACCTCTGGTAGGAAGTTATGTCTCTGCATTATCTGGTATAACATTTCGTGTGTCTCCATGGCAGGTTTTATGTCACCTTTCAGGACCTACAACAAATATCAAACATAGTACTGTATTAACACATTGAAATAGGTATGAAGATAATTAAAGTACATAGAAATTGAAAACAAGATAAGAAGTACCAGAATTCTTTTACTTCAACAGTATAAGAATCATTTCTCATAAAATATGTTTCTCAAATAATGTAAAGCAGGCTTTTTCTGCAGCAGAAGGCTTTCAAAGTTTATAATAACAAAGTTTATAATAAAAGTGATGTGATTTGTTTTGCAATCAAAATGTTCATGATTTATCATATAATGTGAAAGATTTTCATTTGAACAGCCCTTGTTATAGTTGCAGGTCACTAGCATGTGTCAACCTGACAAAAACTAAAATACTGTCAATAACAAAACGTCCTAATCAAGTTTCATCAGCCATGCAATATCATTGTTTATTATCTATTTACATGTCAGGATTACATAATATATACCATCTTTACCTTAGACAAGCAATACCTGTAATGTACACAGGAATATGGACCTAGCAAACATTGTATTGGATTAAAATGAAAATCTATAATTTTCTACCTTAATGCATGGGAGAATTCTTGACATGTGCATTTTGAGCCCTGCTTTTTACATCAGCTCACTTCCAATCCAAGTTTGTATTTTATCATTGAATGTTTTCTGTGCCATCTGGACTATTTCAACTAGATCTTAAAACAAAAGTGGCCCTAGCAAGATTAATCCAGTACAATGTTTAAGCTGATAATCAAGTTACATATTTTGTGATCCACATATTGGATAGGTTACCTGTAAACCGGGCCAGAAAGCCAGCAGGGAGTCCATAAAGTGCCTGGATATAGACAGAGGTTTGTGCATGTGGACATCCACAAACATTGGACCCTGACTGATGTACTTCATCACAGCGTCATAGTGCTACAACATAAACATCAGTGTCATATAATGCTACACCGTAATTATAGATCACAGGGTCATAGTGTTACAACATAAACATCACAGCGTCATAGTGCTACAACAGAAACATCAGTGTCATATAGTGTTACAACGTAATTATAGATCACAGCGTCATAGTGCTACAACATAAACATCACAGCGTCATAGTGCTTCAACAGAAACATCAGTGTCATATAATGCTACACCGTAATTATAGATCACAGCATCATAGTGCTACAACAGAAACATCAGTGTCTTATAATGCTACACTGTAATTATAGATCACAGCGTCATAGTGTTACAACATAAACATCACAGCGTCATAGTGCTGCAACAGAAACATCACAGCATCAAATATAGGACCCCGACTAATTATAAGCTGCAGTAATCACACATTTTCTAAGTATCGTACTCGAAAAATCCCAATAGAATTTGTCTTTAACTTACCTTGTTAAAACGTTGTAGGTAAGTGTCATCCCCCAGCAGGATGTATGCCTTCAGTACATACTCATAGTAGGAATCAATTCCTGCTCCAACACCACTCTCTGTAAAACAGGAAGCAACCCTGCTATCTTACACCAATCACATTCACACTTTACATAGATACTAGTGTGCACAAAATGTTTTCTCTGCTCATGGTCTTAGTAACTCCTCTCTATGTGTATCCCTCAATATATTGCCAACCTCTGTTATGATACCAAGATGGTGGCAGTAAAACAGAGTCTTACTCAAGTTACTGTATACATGATATCATACATAAGTTAGTTATCAATAAGCTAAAATTTCTAACAGGACATGATTTTACCATCAGTATTTTTAATTGCCCACTGTTTTTGAATTCTGGCCTTTCAGCCATTTATTCCTGTTGTTTGATAGAAAAAATTCCTGAAATCAATATAGCTCTTAGATAAGACTGATGAGTAATGAATGACATAGACTTATGTACCCCTGCGAATCCAGTCGCCACTGTGGATGTTGATTACAGTGCCCACCAAGTCACTGGTTCTGTGTCGCTGCTGCCATAAATAGTCCATGGCTTTGTGGGCCTTCTCCTGTAAATAGTTAATAAACATGTATACTTTAAAACGATAGTAAACCTGGGAAGAGATGCTAAAACACAAATAGTCTAAGACTGATGTACCTAACATTGGGACTGTTACATTACTTCACTAATCGAAAAATCTGACTTCACACTGGAATTTCCCTCTTTACCCTTTCAATACTGTAGACCATAATGGACCCATCCATATCAATGCCTCGTACAGTCTACTAAAGTTACATAGGGGTGAAAGGGTTAACTGATGTAATCTATTTTTAAAAATAGTGTTACTGTGGACTTTTTGTAGCTTCAAAATAATGACATTGCCTTCATTGAGTTAGCATTTCAGTAATAGTAGTAAAAGTCTATTGGCTTAACCCTTTCACCACTGTAGACCATACTGGACTCATCCATATCAATGCATAGTAGAGTCTACTAAAGTTACATAGGGGTGAAAGGGTTAAGAGCGACCGCAGACTTTTCAATGCAGATACAAAATTATTAGATTAATTACTTATTTACTTTGTGTGTTCTGCCATAGCATTCCCAGTGGAGGCATACAGGAAATAACATCAGCATCTTATGATGATTCCTTTTTTTTTTTTTTTTTTTTTTTTTTTTGATATGGGTTATTACAGATTTGAAATAACAGACAGAAGGAAAGGTCAGGGACACACTTTTGATTATCAAGATTATTGTTAGAATTAGAATAATTATGTACCGAGATTAACGATGAGGCAGGCATAAAGCGTGCCTTCCAGCTGCCCACTATCTTCTACAGCTTTTCATCTAAATGTGTAATAGCCCAAATATAAACACTAAGTTTTTACATGGATGAGATGACACATATTAGGGAACTGTTAAAGAAAGGGAAAAGTATGTCACTGAAAGAGTAGTTCTAGCAAACTAGTGCCAGTATATTGATTAGCTGTATATATCATTAACTTTTCAAGCATTGATTTACCTCAAATATTGGCTCTCCTGTCAGCCGACTAAGGGCAGCAAACTCCAGCACCATGGTCCCTGCACATGCAGTACAAGTGTCCTTACAACGATTTGAAAGCTCTTTAGTAATCCCATGTTTTAAATTAACCTGTAACACAAATATTAAAAAATCATTAACTCTTCAAATACTTGAACCAGAGTGCTAACATTTTTTAAATAAAAATATTGTACATGTATTTTACATAGCAACTATTTAAAAACAAGGGAATCAAAATTATAATTCAATGTGTTTCATGAACAAATCTTTTCTCAATTTCAACAGAAAAAAACATTACACAGGGAACACCTGAAATGTTTTATGGGTGCTTTAAAAGCAAAAATCTTACCAAATTTGACTGGAGGGGCTTCAAAATGGTAAAAATGGAAGGCTGACCTCCACAGATGGGGCCAAAAAGGGCCATTTCCAGAGAAGTTTCTTTAAAAGTGATATTTGACCCTGTCCCACGAGATCAGTCACTCCATTTGTACAAATCTAAATATCTATCGAATTAGATGCTTAGTAAATCATGCACTTTTGTTACAAGAAACTAACATATTATGATGCAGACCATAACACAAGTAAACACTAAACAAAAAAGTATTAGACCTGGGCTTGCACAGCTCCTAATAACAGCATCTGTAGTTGCATAACTCACCCTAGCATAAGGTATACCCGTGGATGTATTGAAAGCTGGGAGAAGTCTGTATCCCACCTCTTTGGCCATTGATAAAAGTTCGTCATTATACCAATCCATGGATTTTTTCTTTTTCTTTAAAAATGTAGCTACTACATGACCCCCTAACAACCCCCTGAAAAAGTAAAGACATGAATTAATATTAATGAACGTCTTGAAGATTACATATGATACATACCAATGTACCAAGTTCTTGATTAATAAAAGTCTAATTAATGAAAAATCATTAGAATAAAAATTAATTATTATGACTTCAAGTCACCTACATAGTAAACACATATCGTGTTATTAAATCAAATACTTATCATTGTACCAAATAATCTGTACGAATTAAACTCACTTACCCAAGTACACGTATATTAGTTTCAAACACAGAAACTATAATATCGCTGTCAAATTTAGCATGTTCAATAACTAAATGGACAGCCTTTTCAAATTCTTCAATTTCACCCAAAACCTGTTGAAGAAACAAATGGTAATGTACTGATAGTCAATGTCTACAAAATGTTTAGTATTCAGTATTAAAACTGTATCATTAAATATATGTGTTCACTTAAAAGCTTAGATTCAATCTTAGCTGGCTATGCAGAGTCCATACTTACCAACTCTTCCTATTTAGGAGAAAGATTCCCAATTTTGGACCCTCAAATTTAGTATATTCAACCAGTGAATTTGCTAAACTATTCTTATATTCCAAGATCTAATAATTTTATCCGACAGAACAACTCAAACTATGTCATTTTAAAGGGTTATCTTGTCTCTAGGGGGTATGTACACACATTTTATTTATGTTTTAAATTTGAGCATGCACAATCTCTCATGTGAAAATTTCAAAAAGTTGCAAATATGGGAGTCCTAAACCAGAAACACATATAAACCCTAGTACCAACCTTGATCTAGATTGCAAAATATACATACAGTACAATTTCACTATATAAGCTACATATTAATCAGAAAACCAACTCATTTTTAAATAAACATAGTACTTCAGTATGAATGAATTGTGATTTTTTGGTCAAATAAATCGATAGTTTGGACAGTGTATACTGTAAAATCACAAATTTTTGTGGGACATTAAATTTCGTTTATTTCGTGAATAACAAAAATCCACGAAATTCAATCCCCACGAATACATAAATTTTGTATGATATAGATTGGGGGAAATCAGCGAATTATAATGTCCTTGAAACAGGCTAGTATATGAAAACCACGAAATTTTAACCCCACAAAAATAAATGATTCTTCAGTAGTATGGTGCAAATACCCACCACTAAAGTATCCAAGGTGTCAATCAATGTCAGCGTGAAACTGAAAAGTGTAAAGAAAACAATTTAAAAAATGGTATCTATTTTAGATTCCGATCATTCATCTTATATAACATAAAAGCAACAAATACTGAAGAAAAAAAGCACCGAATTTTAAACTAACCTTTTGTGATCACATTATATCATCTGGTGGTTACAAATAGTTTTGTTTGGCTTTAGAATTCTTGCCATCAGCCAGACAAATCTCTATATACCCCTTTGAACAAAGTGAGGGGGTTATAATACTGAACATTTATTGACATTACATTTTGACAATGTAATGACAAATGAAATTGTGATGTAGCTGGTTTGTTGTAGAAAGCATTATTGTGGAAGCATCATGTTTAGGGATGAGTGAAAAAAACCTGCCAATGGTAGTCAATTACTACTTTGAGAGTATACCACTGGTACTTAATTATGCAACCTCTCCCTAGGTAACTTTTAATATTTCATTCCTCATGAGTGTGTATGACAAAGAATTCTCCACCTTCTTGGTATACATAATGTATATATTTAAGATTATTGAATGTCAAACCCTCAGCAAGAAATTATTCTGCTATTCTCTTCCAGAGTACATCAAACATGTTTTCTTCAAAAAATTACTGCTTAATGTTATATAAACATGTATATATCTATATACCGGGTATGTATATTTTGTGTATGTACACATTAAACTATATATTACAAACAGTGTTATAGGTATCACAGAACTCACTTTCCAAGACTGTCATCAATGTCACCTCGGCTGGGCATTGTGCCCCTGTATCTACCCTTACAGCTCAGGGGCATCAGCTCATCTGCTGGAAAGGCATGATTCTAAAACAAACAATAACATTCCACATCCATGTGTAGTGTTGTCACAGGGCACAGAAAAGTCTGGGATAGGTGATTGTCTATTACGAGGAGTGATGTCAAATTCAACTAAGAGGTCTTCTGGAAAATAGCTAGTTCATGTTCATCATTCTTTGTCCAGGGACATTTAAATTTGCTTTATAGAAATATGTATACAAAATTTACGAAATTAAGTAAAGTGTATGCAAGAACAGAAGATCTGTGATAGGTTTTTAAATGGTAACACATACATCAATTGGAAAAATTACTTCATTACACATAACTTACCATATAGGAATCATAAGCATGTCGAAACATTTCCAAAACTTTGTCCCTAGAAACAATAGAACAGATTTAGTCGATAATTTGAATGCACATAATACATATCATATAAGAAAATAACTACTTAAATGGATTGTCAAAATATATTAATCTTTTTATGTGCCATGTTACACAATGCAGTGATTTGTGTTAAGAGTTACATGTATCTCCCTGACCCCTCAATGGATTTTCAAAATAGGTAGATACATTTACGGATGTATGTGTATGATATGTTACACACTGTAACAATATACTGTGATTTGTGTTGGAGCTATCTCCCTTGCTTTTTGTCATCAGCAAATTATTATTATGTCATCAATCATAATTAATTACAAAAATTCAAATTACTACTTTGTAAAATACATTTTCCATGTTTCATTTATTAGAAGGGAACCTATTGGAATTAAGCCACAATGTGGCTTTATGGGCCATCCCAGGTAAAGGTCTAAATTAATTGAATCCAATCCAGTTTTTAACACTCGAACTGATTACTAGTTCTATGGCATAGATAACTTATAAATAACATCTGTGATAATATATATATTTATGTCCAATTTGCAAAATGTGATATATATGTGTAATGTCTGCCTTTTACCTGAATAAATATTATTATTATTTACACTCTGATCTAGATCTATTGCCAGTTGCTTTTGAAATGAATTTTGAAATGCATATACATGTACTATATAAGATAGCTTCTGACTACGAGACATTTTGAGGAGGCTGAGTATTAATATTAGTACCAGTACAAAGAGTGCAATGTGTTGTTATTGTATGAAATATTATATGAAACGAAGAAATCAGATACACTACAACACATGGGTCATATCTTAAACCTGGATCAACATTGTTTACTTGTCACTCCCTTGACCACTGACTCGTGATCTACAGCATCAAAACACCTGGTCAATGTTTGATTTTGTGTGTTGTAATTTACTCCCTATAAATGAAACAGCTATGGTCATTTACAAGCTAAAGGAAGGATGGGGCCGGGGGTAAGCTTTAAATGTACTGTATACGTAGGTGAACTCAACTCCACTTCCTAATTCCTATTCCACCTCAAACAGATGTTGGCAACTGAGTCAAACTATTTTGCCTTTTCAGGAAACAAGCAGCATGTGCACCCCATTAGTATTGCAGCATATGGAAGGAGTCGCTTCTTTTGTGTTTACCCTGATCATCTAGTGTTTGATGTAAAGTAGCATAGTGACAATGATTAAAACACTTTGATTTTAATTCGAAAAGAAACGTCAGTATAAAATGATTATCAAAGTATTTACTTTATCAATATTCATACCAGCCATTTATCAAAGTGAAATGGCCACGGTCATTTAACTTCTACCTGATAATCGACCTACTTCGTCATATTGAAGATCATGTCGATGTTTCGGTTGTATTTATGTACAGGAAAAAGAGAGTGAGAAATTGAGAATAGAGTTAATTTTGTAGAGAGGAGAGACGACTTTCAAAGGTTTCCAAAGACTAAGTTTCAGATGACACCAGATCTGGTGGGACATTGTTTCAGTCTGGGAAAGTTCTGTATTAACAGTTCTTTTTTATCAGAATTTTATATAAACTTATGTAAAGCAAAATTACTTTGCTGCTGAAAAACAACTTCATAAGAACATCCACTTATCATTCTCTCTAAAACATTATTCTATTATCTGTCGTGAGACGTTTGTATTTAAGCAACATTGATGAAACATGTCATGTGTCCACGTACTCAGATTACAGAAACCGCCATTCGATTTGAACTCACCTTAATTCTCCTTTTTCTGACGATGACATCCCTAAGACGACCGAATCTTCAACGATAAATATTATTAAAATGACAACCATAGATATTATGACAATTTTTTGGGTCCTCATGGTGGTAAATTTCCCTGTCGGATGCGCTTAAAAACTTCTCAAACAGCCAAACTATCATAGATGTTGTTGACGTTTGGCGTCAATATGAATTGGGACTGCCATGTTGTCAATTTGTAAACTCTCGCGAGATTTTTAAGGTGCGTTCTATGAACATGATGTATATTAAGGCCTGCATGGCTATCGTTAAATAATTTTTAAAAATACACATCGGAGTTTGTTTCTAGTATTGTAAGGATATGGCCCTTGCAATGTGCAAAGCTACAAATCGTTTATTACGATTTACAACCGATTCGCCCCAAAACCGTCGCGCCTCAAATCATTTCGCCCCATCTTTATTTGTTCATTTCGACCCAAGCTTGAAAATCATATCGCCCCAAGACCTTTTCGCCCCGAAACTATTTCGCCCCAACAGCTATATTCTTGTCAGACCAACCCTAGAATTACTAAAACAGACATACGCAAAATAGAAATGGTGCAGCGTAGAGCATCCAGATTATATTAGTCACGAACAATTTTAGAAACACCGCCAGTGTTGGTGACATGCTTCAACACATTAGCTGGCAATCACTTTAAGACAGAAGGAGAGCCATGCGACTGACTACACTACATAAAACTATACATGACAAAGTCAATATAAGAAAAGACCAACTCATACCTCCATCCCGCCACACAAGACACGCACACCAGAACTCATATCAAACACTCTCATGTAGAACACAGTTTTTATGAAGAATTTCTCGACTGCATTTTACTACTAGTTCTCCCCCTAGTTTAGAACTTGGGCTAGAATCAGACATCCAAGTGATCAAAATTATTAGAGGTTTTTTTTCTTTATTATCTAATATTCTAGAGACGGTGGCCAGTCTATAAACACATGCAGGTACGACAACAATCCATTTTCCCTCGTACCATAGTAGACTGGAATAACCTGCCTCCAGATATAACCTCCATTACCTCTTCTGACTGCTTCAAACTGTCCCTAAGCAAAAAACGCTTCTAACTCCCATATTTTATAAATATTCCCTTTCACTATCTTTTATCTTCTCTTGGCCTAGCACCCACTATCACATGACATGATCTTCAAATAGACGAAGGTGGTCATTACTATGTAGATGTAGATATCGCCCCAAATCTTCATAGTCCTATCAGCTCTATGCCACGATATGTCTAAACTGATGGAAACTTTTGCATTTTTAGAACCGTTGCTATATAAATAAAAATGAGCAATTTCAATCCGTATTCACGCCAAATGGTCCACTGAGCTTGAAACATGTATGCCAGCAGGGATCGAGTAACTTATATGTTGGATAATAAAAACCTTAATCCACAGATTGTGAAAACAACCTGTACAAGTAAGTATGAACCCATGGCAGATATTTATTTTCCGATACCAGGCATTGATAAATGATTAAAAAAAACTCAAGCCGAATAAAGCAGCCGGACCAGACTCTATAAAGCACGAGATAACTCCATCACGAATTGGCCCCTATATTGCAGGTACTAATGTTGCACCACTCTTCAAAAAAGATGAGCACACTAAAGCTTCTAACTAACGTCCGATCTCACTTCCTTGCAATTGTATCCCATGTAATGTAATGGAACACGCCATCGCCTTCAACTTGGTAAAACTAACATCATGTACGTATGGCCTTCAGCATGGATTTGGAGGAAAACGTTCATGCGAAACACAGCTAGTCCAGTTCATACAGGTAAGCAAACAGACATGATTTAATTGGATTTTAGCAAGGCATTTGATGAAGTTAATCATTCTAAATTATTATGAAAACGTCAATGGTACGGAGTAAAAGGACACAACCTCCAATGGATCAGAGGCTTTCTCTCAGACAGGTACCAGCAGGTTGTCCTGGAGGGTGATACATCGTCAAAGGTCAAGGTAACATCCGGTGTTCCCCAGGGGTCAGCATTGGGTCCGATCTTGTTTTTAGCCTATAGTAATGACCTCCCTGACTATATAACATCAGAAGTCCGTCTTTTTGCGGATGATACCGCATTATATTTGTCCCTTTGCAATATCAACGATGCAGCCATACTCAAAGAAGACCTTGAAAAGTTGCAAGTCTGAGAAAATACCTGGAATATGGAATTTAACCCCAGTAAATGTCAAGTCATACAAATTACAAGGTCGAAAAATCGAATTCCATCCAGGTACATACTTCAAAACCAAACTTTAGAAACTGCTCCACACGCAAAATACCTTGGAGTTGATATTTCACATAACCTTACGTGGGAAAAACATGTAAATCGGATGAGTGTTTTAAAAGGAACTTGACTGTAGAGAACGAGAAAAATAGGAGTACGGCGTACACCACCTAAAAGTGAAGGCATGCGGCTAGCTAGTTGATTGGTGTCAGGTTAAAAAAGCCTGACCAATCACTAGGCTGATACTTGTCCTTTGAAGATTACAAAGGAGCGACGCCCGACTTCAAAGCCTGTCAATTTTTAGCGTTACGCAACCGCGAGATTATTTTGAAGCACATCAAAGGACCAAACTACTCTTCTCGTCTCATCCACAAAGGTGGTGCACACATCGATTTTGCTATGACATATTCCAGGGCATCCTCGATATCCAGAAGTTACGCTTACTTTCGCTCTCTACACCCCTGGAATATGTCATAGCGAAATTGAAGGGACGAAGATTGCTGTTTGATTGGTCTCAGGTTTGGTGGTGAGTATCATCTATGAAAGCGACGTATCGTCGGCAAAATGACGAGATAATGAAGAGAGTTCGGATGAAATGTCATTGAAGGCTATGTTTCCACAAGATTTTAGTTACATAAACAAAAGCGTTTCTTTTTAGGTTTTATGTCTTACATACATTGGTTACTATACTGACTGGTTTATTAAGCTGTGGAATGGAATAAACAAATTAAGAACTTGTACACACCTGGTATTCCGATACCAAAAACAAGAACACCAGTGTTATAAGAAGACCTGACTTGTTCCTATTGTTTTAGTTCTCTCAATGCAAATATTTTAGAATACGAAGTACATTTTATATGCAACTGCCCGTGTTATAGTGATATACGTATCCCACTTACTGTCTGATCAAGCAGCACTCATAACTGAAAACATTTTGGCAGTATAATTATGATGTCGTCTGATAAATTGTTCATCTTATAATAAACTTGAGCTGCAGCACATTTTAGCAGTTGATATGATAATGTGTCTGACACTTTAAAAAAATACTACTGATTGATTGAGTAATAATACACAGATGGATGATGATATCAAAATAAACAACAAAGCCATATTTCACATCTTGTTATCCTATATTGATGATTGTAGCTATCGAAATGAACAACAAAGTAGATGGCATAATATGTATACACGCGTGCCGTAGACCAATAGTGTCTATAACAGACCTATTTAATCCAACACTTGTATTACTGGTTTTCAGAGAACACAAATGCAAACAATAGAAGTGGTTATTAGAAAAATGTAAAAAAATAAATAATTATAAGCCGTTTAAGTAATTCCGTATTTATCCTTTGGATATGAACTTAGTGATCGCTGTTTTCTAATTGTAATATGTACGACTTTGATTGCATTTGGAAAATAAAAACAAAATCAGAAATAGTAACAGTTCTTAAAATGCAAGATTTACTACCAAATAATTTAATTATGTCGTTCGGTAGGATTATGGGCGATAGGGCTGTTGGGACGATAAAGACTAAGGGGCGATAGGGCTGTTGGGGAGAAATGGTTTAAAGGCGAAAAAGAAGTTTGGGAGCGATATGGTTGTCAAACTTGGTGCGAAATGAACTGTAATCTGGGACGATCTTAAGAAAAATTGGGGCGAAATGATTTGGGGCTCTAGAAATTCGAATACTAGAATACTCAAGAAATACTCTAGAAATTCGAATTATACATAGAATTAGAATACTCTAGAAATTCGAATGTTACATACGATTCGACCCAAAACTGCCACGGTTTTGGGTCGAAACGTATGTATAATTCGAATTTCTAGAATAGAGTGACCATTGGAAAAGTATACGGCGGCTGGCCAGGACAGGAATTTTAAAAGTTAACTTAATTTTGTGCAAATATGACGTGGTTTAGACCAAATTACAACAATAAAATTCCCTAAATTGTGTTTTGCTTATGCTGTTTTTTTGTGGTTTTTTAAAAATATATATACATTTCTGGATAACACATATTTGTGGTATTTATTTATTCATTTATTCATTTAAATAATCAATAAGCTACGGCCTACTATAAATATGGGGGTAATCGATTCAAAGGAATTCTTTCAAAATTAAGTAAAGACAAAATGAAACTTTTAAAGAGTTATTTCCCTTCCATGAACCACAGTGCAGTCACTAACCGAATGCGCCTCACATTTTGCGTCAAAGTTGAAAACCTTCTGCAGTTTCTGAAGGACGAGAAGGGTGCATACGCAATGGCTCTTAACTACTTGAAATCATGTTGTTGGAAGCAACATATAGGACATCTAAAGAATATGAGATACTTTCCATTGACTATGCGACATCATTATGACCTGTTATGCAGAACTGACGTAAGTCTGTCTACTAGAATAAGGAAGGCGGGGTAACTGTAACACGTGTTTTACTTGTCATTGTAGAAATGTTTTCTGTGCGTCAAGTAAATTTCACAGCATGTGACTTTTTTTTTCTTTACCATGTGTGGATCGTTAAATATACTGACAAGCAAGCCCCACCCACTTCCTCACTCGCACAAAATTGGAACGGGAAGAGAATGTGCTTCCAATGGGATCGAGCCCCCCGAACTTCCCAGTTCTTTGCTCTATAAATTAAGCTAAGGGAAAAATTCCCTCTAGAATGTGACCGTAATCATATACATGAACAATGAAAAACTGCCACATTGCCCCCCCCCC